TGTACATCCATGTGACAGCACTTCAGATCGACAAAATTACTTGTGTGCAGTTTCTGCTGGCAACACGAAAACATGCACACGCTCAGAGTGTGTTGCCCTTAAGAGAAATTTTGCATGGGGAAAATTACCCCTCTTGTTCATGCATGGAAACCACACTGAAGATCTGTGATTTTTCATCGACTTCTTTTCTTTTCATTTTTTGTCACCAGTTGCCCAAGATTTGTAATCTGTATTCCTGTCTGGCTGTCTCATGCAGAAATGCTGTAACACCAGTCGGCGGCTGTTGTCCCCTCTGTGGTGAGTGACCCCCTCTTCTGCTTCCCACCCCCCACCCCCAAGATTTAGGTGGCTGCTTGGTGTTAAGGAATGTGGTTTGCAGGTGTCATGCAAAATTGGATCGCAGAAACTACAATATTTCAATGGAGGCAGGGGGCTGTACATGTAGGGCTTATTTCAAGGGTATTTTGATGCTTTTTGTTTTGCAAATAGCTGTTTTCATATTCATGAAGAAAACTCTGATGTCACACTGGGAAGAAATCCTTAATGCTGCTTCACATGTGCACACAAACATGCCAGATTTTTTCATATTTCAGTGCCTGAAATGTTCTTTTCTTTAGTGATGCAGTGGTATGCGAATAGGTGCAGTAAACGAATGGAGGAACCCTCTCTCAGGAATGATTTCAGCAAGGAAATTTGGTTTCACAATTTTTATCTGAAAAGCTGTAAAGCAAGTAGTGCCTTCTGTGATTAACATTACAGCAACAACGCCCTCGGCTGACCAGAAAAGCATGGACAAAGTTAAACGTTTTAAAAAGTGCATTTTTCAATTTGACTGTTTCAGAAACAATATCAAGCTATTTTGTATAAAGAGAAAAGAGTGAAGTGGGATGAGGAATATTTGTGAGAAGATTCACCGCAAGGACCCTTTAACTCACCGAAGTGATTTGGTATGCCAATCAGAAGCCTGTATTTGAGCAGAAGCACCCCCTCATTGGTTGAAAAGAGCCATGTTGGTGGGGAGTATTCATTTTGTTGGTAGCAATAGTAGCATAACGCATGCATTTTAAAGTCATTTGTGAACCAGCGAAGTTCAGTTTCCACTAAAGGGGCCTGTGTTGCTTGGAGAGAAAATTCTGCCCCCTCTTGGTCTAGCTGGGGGCTCATGGGACATCACAGGTTCCTTTGAATGTTATGGCTGCTATTGGTGCAACTGTTCTGGCCACTGACAGGCAGCTTCGACCACATCCCTGGCATGTAGGTGTGTGCATTTCTTCCAGCCGCTATTGTTCTTTTTGGACACAGCCTCAAGCAACTGTAAAAATGCTCTCTCCTAGGTGCCATTTTGACCATGGAGTACACCACCAACTTCAACCTGGCAAATTTCAAGAAGAAGATTCACGATGACTTTGGGGTGCGCGACAACCCTGCTGACAATCCAACAGGGGTAAATGATGTTCTTGGTTCTTCCTCACAATTGCTTTAATACCCTGGGAGGAAAATCTGCCAGTGGATCTAGAAAATCAGGCATAAGGCCTTATCCTAGCAATTTTGTGTTGATATGTATTCAAAATGGTCAACTGAGCCGTTTACTTTGATATATTACTTAGTTTGGCATCCTAACGAATACAGACATGGATGGAAAACGTCAAGGTTCCCTACAAATGGGGCAAGATTCTTTTGAAGGTATCAAAGGGGGCACCAACTCGTTTTACTAGGCTCAGTCACAACCTTGTGTTTGCCAGTGTTTGCTGCGAATTTTTTATCTGATCATCTATCCTGTTCTGTCCATTTGGGGATAATGGGCAACACTGTATGTGGGAGTGTTTGCAGCATGCTCATTCTTTTGTTCATTGTCAGGGCCGGAGGCGGCGCGAGGTAGACACAGGCATGGTGGACACCTACACGTCCAAGACCAGCAAGGATCAGATACAGTTGGTGCTGACGGATAGAGCAGCGGGCTCCAGCAGTGGTCAGACTGCCATAGACATGGCACAGAAAATTGTGACAGCCATGCAGAATGGTGAGTGTGAGCATTGGTGGAATTGTGGAAACTTTAACTGACTGACATTATGATGTTAATGTGCACTTTCCTGTGGCCTTGGGGTGACCCCAGATCTATAAATAATCCACTATCGATTGATATCAAAACATTTACATAATCAGAACAGAAGTGCTTACCCATTGCACCCATTGCCAACAAACATGTGTATCGTCGGGTGCCCGGCAGAAGGGTGTAAGCAAACTTACGCCCTTTCGCCGGGAAGCATGATCACAGCAGAAAACAATGTTCCCGGCAAAAGGGCGTATGAAACACACTCTCTTTATTTAGTAAAAACGGATATAATTTACTACAAAATCAACCTGGGCTGTACAAAAAGCAACCTTTGAACAACTTATTAAAGGACTTGGGCATTTTGTTAATTAATTTTCCCAAGAAATCTTCATATTTCATTAAAATACAATAGTTGCATACTTCCGTCCTTTGGCCTGGAAATGTTTTTTTGCAGTGATCATGTTTCCCGGCAAAAGGGCCCAAGCGCTTATGCCCTTCTGCCAGGCACACAACGATATGCACCTCTGCCATTGTACACTGCATGCCCAAGATATGTGTGCTGTTAGAAAGTTTACTCATGTCCGAATCAAGTCAGATATTGAATAAGAGCATTCACAGCCGTAATTGGTCTAAACATCATGTGTCAGATCTTAAAGCTGGTAACTAATAAGTTGACTGATAATTGGCAACGTATTTGCCAACACATTATTTCCTTGGTGCGTGTTTCTGTGGGTTTTTGTAGTGCATGTATAATTGAGGATGCAGTCATGGCCTTCCCTCAACGGGCATGCGAGGCTTCTTTATTAGTGGTGACGATGCAACGAGACCATTTTCAAATTCTTCCACAGAAGCCATGAGGGCTTGTTGTAGTGCAACATTGCAATCAGTTCACTTTAAATGTACCCACTCTGGAAGACGGTAACAGATTGTATCTAGAGTAGACCGTGAGGCAGGCAGTTGTTTTGAAAAGTTCTACATTAAAACTAACCTGCGAGACTTGTGTGCAGAGAGTTGTGGAACGGGAGGCAACTATTTTCATAACTGCCGTCTACTGAGGAGACTAGCACTGTAGGTTAAACGGAAATGGTCAACTTTCACACGTCCACCACTGTCGGTAAAGGGCAGCAGGTGTGAACACATACAAAAGCACTTGGCATGTGTTGCTCTGGTCCGCAGACCCTGGAGCTTTTGGAATTACAAGCGTTGACATGAAGTCCTCCCAGAAGGGTACAGGGACCCAGACCGGTGGCTTGTCGGGTGGGGGCGTGGTTGGAATTGTCATCGCAGTTCTTGTCGTCGTCATTGTCATCATCACAGTCATATTCCTGCTCCGCCGATATCAGTAGTAAGTACTTGTAGAACTTGCATCTTTATACTTGGACAGTTTGACTGTCATTGTAGATGAGCACTGGTTTTTATGTATGACTCTATGCAAACCTGTGGGGTCCACTAGTTGGTCACTGAGGCTCTGGTTTGCAAATATTGAATGCTTCGAGAGTTACAGTCAGTTAAATCAGCCCCTGTAAGTGATCCATGAAGACTTATTTTCCTTAACCTTCCTATGCTGAAGTCACTCTTTGGGTCACTTGGTAAACACCTCAAT